GACATAGTTATAATAGGTGTATAGAACACAAGGGATATAAAATGAAAGATTTTTAGTAATAATATATATATTTTAACATAACACACAATACACTCCACAAGACTTGGAATTCATTGGTTGTGGCAATTAAAGCGGTCCCAGCCCTAAGCCCTTTACAAAGTAAAAGTTCAGATACAGCTACTTCTAAGAGAAGCTGCATCACCACAAAAGTTATCAATTTTCCCGACCCAAAGGACATCAACTTGGGGCAAGAGAGTCAACGTTAGGCAATAGGAACAAGAGACGCAGAAAGAACCACCACAAGACAGGATTCTGATCAAGTAGCAAACTTTATTTTTCTCAGGCTGGCTTGTATAAACAGTAAAGCAGGATATGGGAAGGGGCTGAATGGGTTGTTTGTGCACAAGGTGTGACTTTAGGAAGAATATTTAGAAGCAACAAAGAGGATGTTTGGCAGCGTAAAGATTTCATGAGTAAAAGGTCCATGAAGGGTTTCCTAGGTGACTGAGCCTGTGGCTTTTGTTGAGCTGAGGTTCTAAGGAGCTGCTTTGTAAAGTTTGACTATGTGGCCTGCCAAGCATGGCCTAGGATATCATGCCAAGCCCTGAGATTCAACTCCCAAAATATTCCCTGTTCCTTGTACAAAAATAAGTGGCCAAATTTTTCAGCAGAGGGGGATAGAGGCCTGGCCCCCAACTGGAGAATCTATGTAGATTTTATAAAGGACAATTTTCTCTGACCTCAGGGATGGCTTCTTGGAGTCATCTGAAAGGCAGGACCGTCTGGATGCATTTTGTGGGGGTGGGGAAAGCAAGAGGATCCCTATCAAAGGACCGAGTAGGCAAAGGAGGAGGGTGGTTAACCATGGCGAAGAAGTAGGAATGTGTAGAAGGAAGCAATAAGGAGTAACAGGAGTTGATTTTCCCATACGAGCAAAGCCAGCCAAGCTGATGGTTGAGTCGGTGTCATCAGGGTCATTTTCAGGAGACATGTGGTTGGTCAGGACCTGGAAGTAAAGGAGAGGCTTCTTCTCCCGAGGGGGCAGGAGTGCCAGGGTTTTCATCTCTTGAGTCTTCCTCCCTGGAGGAGGCTTCAGCTGAAGGACAAGGGATTTGATTACTGCTACAGAGTGAAAACAGAAACTACAAGAGTGGCGATTTGGACAGGGATGTTTTTCAGACCCAAAAGTCTCATGATAGGAGTCCCTCCTGACATCCACATTTCCTTACCCTCCAGCACAGCAGAGCCAGGTTAGTATCACTGTCAAGCTTAACCTCTCTAAATCCATGACCAAACTTGCAATTTCCCAGCATTCTCCAGGAATCCACAAGGAGAACTTTGAATTCTCTCCCAACATTGGCCATTGTAACAGTGGACCAACTCGCCATGGATCCACAAGCCAGGGGCAGAAGCAAAGAAACACTGATATCTTCAAATGTAATCGCATTAAGAAGATCATGTGAAAATGTCTTTCTTTTACTTTTTAAAAAAAAAACCTAACATGGGCTTCTCACTAGTGACCCTTCCCTAACCTAGCCTCATCCCACACTGTACTGTGGCGCTTTTGTGTCTTATGAACCCATCTCGTCTGCCATGTTGTCAGACGATCAACTCTTGGAGGCAGTTGCCAACTATAACCCATTTCTTCTCATTAGTGGTTCCTTCTTGGAGTAACCATGGACAAAGATCCCTGATAAAGAGGAAGAACTTCTTTTTTTGTTTTGTTTCTTTTTAACCCAAGTACTAAGGGGGGAAGGGGAGCCTCTTCTGGCCTTATCTCACAGTTTCGTCCACAGCAAGTGTAGGGTGGTGTGGGCAACGAGGGAGTTGAGAAGGAGGGGTAGAGCAGCACCCCTTGATAAAGGTGGGGAGATGGGAAGCCCTGAATTCTTCACCCAAGGCCAATTTCAGAGGGAGAGGAGGGTTACAATCTAAGCTTTGGCCAAGGGCAGGAGTGAGATAGGGGGGCAATGGCTTGGAACGGGCATGACTTAAGAAAGCAGGGGTGAGGCCAAAGCACCCCCAAGCCCAGCAGTATTCCCACCGCTGCTACCTGAAGCCTTCCCTTCTATTCTAAGGGCCACCATACAGCTGTGGCAAGAGGGCGGGGCAGGCAAAGGCAGACCCAGGCCATGTGTCAGCAGCAGGTGATTGTGTGACATGTCTGTTCACAGTTGCATTAACTGTGCCCACCACTCCCAAAGGAAACTGATTTCAACACACCTTCTTGATCCCAGAAGTTCAACTAGGCACCCAGCAGTTACAATCGACAGATGTTACACAGCACAACTCAGGAATTTCAAATGGACAAGAAATTAGTATCAGAACAGTGTCTCATGATGAAGTCTGAGACGTCATAATGCTGGTTTTGCTGAGTTTTTGGTTTTTTTATGCATTTATAAAAATAAAAGAAAAAGTTGGTAATTTTATTGCAAAATATCCAGGGTTTTGCTGCACTGTCTGGTGTTGATACAGCCGTGTCCTTGTGATACTGTGGCTCTTGGTGTTCCTGGTAACAGGTAAGGATAACAGTTGGTGACCTGCTATAGAAGTACCCACAGTGTAGTATGGTCTCTGTTAGACTTTTCTTT